GTGAAACACTTCAATTTAAATTGAAACAGACACCGCATTGATTCACGTTTAGAACTGGGAACTATATCTTGTAAACAAGAAATAGTCGTTTTGAAAGTGGCAACGGATGTTTGTCTGGGTGTATTAGTTATTTCAAGTATGTGAATCCGTGACGACTCTCGCCTTTGTGATCGGATTCATCAGAATTTTAATTAGACCTCTTCTTGATTGTTTTGTTAGTTTTAACTTGATCCACAAACGCAATCCATCGAATAAGCGGAATATTTTATAGAGCGAAAGTACGCTACTGGTTTCAATTTTCGACGTCTCTTCTCTTGGTTGAGAGGGATTAACTGTTCGTAATTTATAGGGTGAACTTAGTGCCATCGTTACCAACCTCAATTACAACAGACTCTCGAAAGCGCAGATTCCTAATCCTTTCTTTATTTAAATTAACATCCAGCGCTGAGTTTCTATGCCACTGAATCTAGGATGGGATCCTGTGACTTAGGAGCGTCAGTGTTTATTCCCGTCAAAGATGAATGCACGCGTTGGAATCTTCCTTTCCCTTGCTCACGCCGTACCAGGGAATGTTCAACCTCTAGCTTTTTGTATACCAGTTATTCCATCTGATAACAGTACTATCAATCAATGCAAGCGACACGAAACGTCACTGCCTACTCCATCTTCTTCCCGTGCGAAATTTAGACCGAGTGGAGGATGGTGTATTTTCAGAGGTGTTAGCGACCGAACCAGATGAGATATAAAGGATAATTGGTGAGATATCTATTGACTCTTTAGTAACGGCAAAATTCTTTCAAAATCCTTTGATCTCATCAAATAACAATATTATATGACCATTTTACCCAAAAGTTCTCTATCCCAACATACTTTATTGTTGTTTGAGATAGTTGTTCTTAAAAAAGGTCACAGAAAAAATATATTTCAAGTACATCTACATCTACATCTACATCTACATTAAAATACGTCATTAAAGTCGTTAGACATCACACCAACGTCAAAAATACAAAAAGTATAAATAACAACAATAGAAATAATATCTACCAATTTAAAGTTTCTCGTTAAAATAATTGGAAATCTTAGTTTTAAAAATTACTAAAGAGATGCCTTCAACAATATCTTTCAGAAGTTTGTTCCATGTCCTGAAGGTGCGTGGAAAGAAGGAATAAAAATATACATTCTTCGTGGCTTTTATATTAAAAAATTTATAATTATGACTCGAACGAGCTCTGGGATTAGATCATGATGGGATTAGATCGACATCTATCACAAATTACTGACTGGGTGTGTCCTGTTAGGAATGACTCACACCACTTGAGTAAATTTTCTCGGATACCATAGTACTCGAGTTTATGAAGGAGACGCTGGTGCGGTACTTTGTCAAAAGCTTTGCTAAAGTCAAGTACGGCAGCGTGAACAGACTTATTATCCTGGATGGTCTGTGCTAGGTCGTGAACGATTGTTATCAACTGGGTAACAGTTGATCGTTTGGCTCTAAAACCATGCTGTACATCAGTAAGTATCTTGTGGGAATCAAGATGTTTCATGACGTGGMTGGAAACAATATGCTCCAGGACTTTAGATGCAATACAAGTTAGTGATATGGGTCTGTAAATGCAAGGATCTGACTTCTCACCGCTCTCAAAAACTTCGTACACATGTGCATATTTCCACGTCACCTAGGTGGTACAATATCAGAATCGATAGAGGCCTGGTAAATAGCTGTTAAAATAGGGCCAATCTCGTGAGCATATTCTTTCAGGAACAAGGGGGATCTCATCAGTCTCGCTTGCTTTGTTTGGTTTCAATGATGTTAGTTGCTTAATTACTCTTGGGAGAGTCACAACTAGGGAACCAAGAGTTGGTCATGGAGAATCTCCAACAGCAGGTATACTAGTAAGACCTTCCTTAGCATAGACATCGGAGGCTATCAGGTTATCAACTTTGAAGTCAGCTACGCCAGGGTCGTCTTTTTTCAGTTTTTTAATAAACGACCAAAAACGCTTAGGGTTCTCTTTGATTGCCTCACCAAGATAATCTGAGATATATCTCTCTCTTGCAGACTTGAGACTGGTATGTAGACGTTTCCTAGTAGCACAGACCGGAATTCACTCCAATGTGGGGGGTTTCATGATCGTTTAACTTTGTTATAAAGATGTTGCTTGGCTCTTCATTGCCTTCCTAGTGAGCGATCAAACCAGAAAAGATTATATCGCGAGGAGCTGGTCATCTTGTGGGGTATGCATGTCTCCATAATACTACGAATGCTACGTTCAAAGGTGTCCCACATTCCATCAATCGAGAGCTGATTCAGATTTCTCAGACAGGAAGTAGCAAATTCTTTAAACATTTCTCTAATACGGCTATAGTCTGCCTTTTTTTTACGTAAACTTTGCGCTATACGTTCTTCTTCATACGACATGATGTTTTTACAGAAAACAAAACAGTGTCGTGGTCACTTATTCCGCAGATCTTTATTTACCTTGCTTCTAGTTATATTTGCAGTAACCTAATTACTTCAGTCATATGTTCTCGCGTGATGTTTGCCAACCATGTTAACTACAGCAGATCTTTAGCGCCCTCGGTTTTTGAAACTGAAAACATAATTTAAGTTTTCTCTGTTGACCTTACAAATTTATGAAAATAAATGCATTCTGTCTGATTAACCTTTCTGTTATGAATATTTATTTCAGTTGTAATGAGTTATATCTGATCAAAACGCAAACTGAGCACAACTGCCCGCCAGGAGTTTGAAGTCCAAATTTTTTAATCACCCTTCCGTTGTAATCTTGTTACTTTTTTGGTGTCAGTGCTACTTTTCGCGCACCTCACTCCTGGAGCTCCTGCACCGCATCGACGTCACGGCCGCGGCGCGCTACGAGCCATTTTTTTTTTTCACTGAGGGACTTAATCGTAGTCTAAAGAAAGAAGAACAAAATTAATGATATCTAAATTGATGTCCTTTCTGCCTCGATTGTGATCGCCACCGTGTCGTGGTGGGGCGGCTTGCGTTCCCCAGTGATCCCCAGAGCTATGTTAGCTGGAGTCTTGCAATCCTGGTAGGGAAACCCATGCCAAACAGGTAGAAGGGTAGGGGCCATACGAAGAGTGATCCCACCGGCCCTCCAGATTTGGGCTTGGGCAGAGGGCTGATAACCTCCTCCCGTAAAAAATAATTATTACAGAAACCAGAAGCAGAGTGAATTCACTATTTCAAAGGGGAACTGTGGAAGTACCTTAGTAGGAGAGAATTAGTGAAGCACGGGAGCCAAAGCCAGTAGGACGCCTCCGAGCTGATCAAGCCACTGTTACACCCGAAATACACCATGAAGATACTGGAATGTAATGACACTTTACAGAAGTGGCAACATTGCACAGGCGGCGAGGGAAATAAAAAGGAGAGGTATAGATATAATGGGTATTAATAAAACCCACTGGACGGGACAAGAAAAAATGCAACTTGCAGAGGGCGAAACTATTATTTACTCCGGAAGAAATGATGACAACCATAGGGAGGGAGTTGGCATACTGATGTCAAAACATGTAACAAGATCTCTAATAGAATGGACTCCGATCAGCGAAAGGGCTACTCAAGCCAGATTATATTCCAGATACATTAAACTTATTATCATCCATATATATGCACCCACTGAAGATGCAGATGAACAGATGAAAGATGAGTTCTATGGGAGGCTACAGGATGTGATAGACAGTGTCAATGAGCATGGCATGCTAATAGTAACGGGGGATATGAATGCTAAGGTTGGAAACGATAACTGGGTCTACGAAAGTGTGATGGGCAAACACGGGCTGAGGCAAAGAAATGATAATGGAGAGAGGCTTTGCGATATTTGTGATACGAATGAACTAGGTTTAACAGGAACATTGTTTCCACATAAGACCATTCATAAAGCAACGTGGGTTTCCCCAAGTGGGAATACCATAAACAAGATATACCACGTACGAATTAGCAGGCGATTCAGGAATTCAGTGAAGGATACGAGAGTATACAGGTCGGCAGATATCGGAAGCGAAAACCATCTTGTATGTACAGTAGTCAAGTTGAGGTTAAGTAAGCAAACGACAGAGAAGAAAAGATACAGAGTAAATATATCTCAGTTAGACGTTTTGTTGTGTAGTATCGCTGAGTATTTTTACGAGTTCTGTCGTATTTTGACGAGTAGGGCAAGTCAAAATACAAATAACGAGTAAAAAATACTTAGCGATACTACACAACAAAACGTGTGATAAGTTATTTATTATCCAACACGCCAAAATGTTATTTCAGTGCGGGCGAATTTCG